GCAAGTCACGAATTCAAGTGATCAAAGACCATTGGCTTAGGTTACATGTCGCAGATTTAGAAGTTTGGTCACGGGCCATTGGATCAAGTCACATGTCATATGTTAAAGTGCATAGGTCATAATTCACAAATTCAACAGATCTGGGCACGAGCCATTAATTTCTCCAACCTTAGCCATCCAAACTAGTCACAAATTCAATTTAACAGATTTCAACGGTAAGAATTGAAGTTATTTGCTCTAGTAATTACTCTATAAATTACACCAGGGATTGTTTTTCAATTTTAAAAAATCGTTTTAAATTATGTTTCTTCCTCTATCTATACTATCTAAGCCAGCGATGTTTATGTTCATCGCTAAAAAAGTCGTTGGCGAGGTGGATGTCAACAACTGGATGCCGACAACTAAGAGGGATTGCAACAGGTGAGCACATGAGTGTGGAGGCGGTGTGGGTGAATTAATTTAATTTGAAAATTATTATTTATAATTAAAATAGAATTCCTGATTTTTGCATTTTTAAATTTAATGTCTGGAAATTGATTTGGTTCATACTTAATGCCTTACCTATGATTTTTTCCCTAAATCTAATCCAAGGCCAATAAATATAGGTCAAACAAGCAAAATTGAATAGTTTAGGGTCGTTGTCGACGTTTCGTCATCTGGTCACTGAAAGAAGTTAGATGCAGACTACAAGGGTACTTTCACGTTGACCAAATTTTTTTTTTTTGCCATTCACCACAATGACCCTTTGAAGAGTAAATGACATTTTTACTTTACTATATTTTGTAATTGCAAAAATATATTATTGTTTAAAAGACAATAATACTCTTCTTAAATTATAAATAAATTCAAATACTTCTCACTTGAATTTCAAAACGCAATCAGTTCCTTTATCAGTTTTTCCAACACAGATAAAAAAAACTTTCATTTTTCATTTGCTTCATAGGTATCATTTGAAATCGATAAGTATATTTACGTATTTTTAATCTCGTTTTATTATTTTAGTATATTGTTCAAATATTTAAAACTTATTTCGAGATAGACAAATAATTTTCTACAATCTTAAAAGGATCTATAAATTTTTTAAGCAAAAATGAGAAAAAATTCATCTGCATGCATATTATTTCAGAAAAAATTCATAGTCATTTGTAAAATTGCTAAGCAAAGCAGATGTGGGCGATAACAACCAGCCCAGATGGTCTAGGCCGGCTAGAAACATTTGGCTCAGTCGGTAGCCGGCTCGGACATTTTTTTTAAAATAATGTTCAATTATTTATTTTATAATTTATTTGTTTATATTTCATGAATTATATTAATTGTTTATGTATATTGTTTATTTCAGTAAATTAATAACTAATTGAAATAAATTAAATAAATATAATTAAACAATTAAAATAATTAATGAAATATTTTAAATAAAAAATTAAAATAAATATTAAATGAACAATTAAAATAATTATATATTAATTCCTTGTGTTTAATTTAATTATTTTCTAATATTTTAATTTGTGATGCAGATATGGTATCAGCATGTGTCCTAATTTGTTATTTCGGAGAATTTCAAAAGAATGAAATGGTCAGTGAGAATGAAAATGGACGAGTGAATGAGATGGGGTTAAAGCAATTTTTATAACAAGGAATACTTCGTTTACATAAATATACCATGATATACAAAATATGCTTAACGTCGATCCTTCTCAGTACGATATGAAATTAAGATTTTTATTTCAAAAGCATTCAATAATTTCGATTCCACTTATTAAAGTTACTTCTGAAGTGGAGATGAAGCATCTAATTAAATTGAACCGATTCCAAAAGTCGACTCCTATTTGCAAAATTTTATTGGGGAAGAATGTCCCCGAAGGTGAACACGAAGTTTTCGATGAAGATGATCGTAATGTAAATGATGTTTGGGATACAGTTCAAATTGCCCATGAAAATGATGTGGTTATTCCCGAAACAGTTGTTACTCACCATGATCACATTGTTATGTACAGAATTATCTCGACAGTTGAAAACAATGAGAATGAAAATGCATTTACAAATGAGGATTTGATTGATTTATCCCGTGAGAGACTAAGTAGGGTAGGAGCTTACAAGCTGGACCGAGTACACAATCCTCTAATTATTCGCATGTGGTTCTCGATTATGAAGATGTATATGTCGAGCAATTGTTCGAATAAAAAAAAGATTTGCGGGAAGCTGTGCACCTAATTGCTTTAAAGCATAAATTCGAGTTTAAAGTGAAGAAATCAAACAAGTCGACGTACACAATTATCTGCATTGACGATAGTTGTCATTGGCATTTGTGAGCGACGAAGATGGATACGAATGAGTTTTTTGTAATTCGTACGCATGCACGAGAACATATTTGGGAAGTGGATATTCGTCAAAATGATTACATGCAAGCCCGAGTATGGTTCATTGGTAAATAATACATAAGTTTTAGGACCCACGAACAATCTATAGATTTTTGAATATCATTAACGACGTCCGTCGAGAGTACGAGGTGGTCATGAGTTATCAGAAGGTTTAGAAGGCCAAAGAATGCGCATTGGAGGATTTAATGGGGTCGACCGAAAAGAGTTATGCTAAATTGACAAGGTATTTCTTTGTTTAGTTGTTTATTTAATATTTATTTTAATTGTTAATTATTTATTTCAGTTATTTATTTTTTTGTTCATTTAATATTTAAATTACTTATTATGATTATTGTTTATTTAAATCGACAGGTATTGCTATAACATGGAAAAAACTAATACTGGATCTACATTTTATATTAAGATGGATGGCGAGAATTGCTTCAAGTATTTCTTCATGGCCCTCGGACATGCGTTCGAGAATTTCGAAATGCGATACGATCCCTAATTCTAGTCGACGATACAACCCTTAAAGTTAGATAAGAAGGCAAATTGATTATTGCAATATGTTAAGATGCCAACATCAAAATTTACCTCTCGCATTCGACATAGTCGATGGAGAGAATGATCTAGCGGTGCGTTGGTTCTTCACTAAGTTGAGAAATGTAATTGGGATGTCGAAAACTTTGCATTTGTAACCGAATTATCGAGGCAGTGACATCGTTGCATTATTTAGGAGAGCTACAGAGACTTACAATTTCGAAGAGTTTGAAAAGTTCATGATCGAAATAGAAAGCAAATCGCATGCTGCATGAGACTATCTAACAGAGATGGAGATCGAACATTAGGCACGATCCCATTTTTCAAGAGTCGATACAACATGATGACGTCGAACATTTCGGAGTCCCTCAATGCCTTGTTCAAGAATGATCGGCAGTTACCAATTCTTACAATGATTGAGAACATTCGTAACAAACTACAACAGTGGTTTCATGATCGACTTGTGGAATCACAGAGTTGCACAAGTGTGCTAACTCCCGCTCAGGAAGATAAACTCTTCAAGACTCTAGAGGTGACGAAAAAGGTATGTGTGGAACCACTGTAGCAGTTTCTTTTCTTCGTCAGATATGCACGTAATTTCGGATACATCGTGGATTTGAATGATAACATGTGCACGTGTAGACATTTTCAATTGGAGAATTTTCCATGTATATAAGTAGTGGTAGTAGCCATGCATAGAGAATTCTCACCACATACTTTATGCAGTGTTTATTATATGGCTAATTTTTGGAGAGCAGCGTATGCCGAAACAATATTTCCTGTACCAAACGAAACTGAGTGGAAAGTTTCCGATCAAATTCTCCCACAGAATAATTTGTTGCCGCCCGAAGTCGACCACATATTCCTGGATGTAGACGTGCGTCTAAACGTCTAGAATACCATCAACCAAAAAATTTCCCCAACCTCGTAAATGCGATAGGTGCAGTGCAATAGGGTATACTAGAAGATTTTGTACAAGTCAGATTCCTCTAGATAACAATGCAACAGATATGTAATGAAATTTAATTCATATTTACTATTTTCACATTCTGTTAGTATTTGAAATCATAGTATTTGAAGACCTTTTGTTAAAAGATACTGTGTTCTCCATGTGTTTATTTAATATTTGATTTAATTTTTTATGTAAATATTTCATTAACTATTTTAATTGGTTACATGTATTATTTATTTAATATTCATTTACTTTATTTAATTATTCATTATACACAATATACACAAACATTTAACATTCTTCATGAAATATTTAAATAAACAAATATACATTTTACAATTCTTTCGTAATTATAAATGAATGAATTAAATTTACAATGTTTAAATAAATGTTAATATGTAAAATTATTTCATAAAAAAATGTACATGTCAATATTTACGGATCACCATTAAATTCAAATAAATCACATACTAATTTTTTCTCCAATTTTGTATCGATGCCTAGTTGATTGTATCAACCTTATTTGCTATATTAAAAAATTCTATGTACTTAATGACGATTAGTTGCAATCACCCATACAATTAAACAATATTGTATTACTTTGGTACCGTGTAGTTAGAACTAGGGATGTAAACGAGCCAGGCCGAGCCGGCTCGCGAGCCTAAAGTTTCGGCTCGGGCTCCGCCCGGTTAAAATGGGCGAGCTTTTTTGTGGGCTCGTTGCTCGGCCAAAAAAAAAGGGTCAGCCCGAGCTTTTGCTCGGGCTTTTTACGGGCCGAGCCGGACAGGCTCGTTTTCTCCATTTTTTTAATCTTCTAATCTCCTGCCTTAAAAGGCAGCAGATTTGTTACCTTTAAAAGGCAGCAAAATCGCTGCCTTAAAAGGCTTTTAAGTTCGCTGCCTTTAAAAGGCAGTAGTTTTGCTGCCTTTTAAGCCTTCAATTTATTTTTATTTTCCTTTAATAATTTTTTTTTTTTTTTTTTTTGGTAAAGATTGCGAGCTCACGGGCCGGCTCGAGCAAAGCCTGTGTCCCCAAAATGGGGTTCGGCCCGAGCTTAGGCTCGGGTCTACCGAGCCCCGAGCCGAGCCGACTCGGGCTTTTCCCGAGCCGAGCCACGGGCGGCCCGAGCCGGCGAGCCCGATTGCCATCCCTAGTTAGAACCTAAGTTTTAAATTAAAAAAATAAAATTACAAACGCTTACGATATTTGCTGTCACGTCGTCGTCATGTCCCGCACGGTGGTCAGTCTGTCCTACACAGTGATGTTCGCTCGTCTAGCCATTATGAGAACAAACACAGACACCGACTTTAGATTTTGCTTGAGCTGATCTTGTGTCAGGCATGAATGATCGAGGTCGTAAACATACATAGTCGAGTCGGCGAATACGATCTCCACTGCAATGTAATGATGATTCACACACACTGACATGTACAGATGTGTACAACCCTCCCATGGCTTTCTCCCGACACTCGACCACATCCCTACGATATATACAGACACCATGTATTCGTTATCTATAGCTTGGAGCGACTGGTACTTAATGTCAACAACACAAATGAACTCGGTGTTCAATATGAGTCAGCCAGGAATGTTGAACAGTTTTGGACGTCTTTCAACTCGATCTCGTAGCAAATCCATGGCAAGTCAATGCGCTACATCCGGAAATACAATAAAAAAAGAAGTTATTTTATTTCATAAATTCAAAATTATGTATACATAATAAATAACAATATTACTACTTCACTTACATCGTCGACGAACTAAGTCCCGAAGTGGTGATGTCGTGAAACTACTTGTAAGCGTTCGAGATCGTCTTTTGAGCAATCGTGAGGTTGGCACTGAAAAAATAAGAAAAGAAATTGTTAAAAGAAGTATAGATGTGTCAGTGTCAGCGTCTGCGTACTGTACTCATTTTATAAAATACAATACTTACCCGGGCCTAATTGTTCTCCACACTATCTCGAAAGCTTTCCACTTGGCGTAGTCCACCTCCCTGAATAAATTGGGTGCGTCTTGTCGATGAATCTCCTACTCTTTGCCTCCTTGGTAAATGGAGAAACGACGTACTGTGATGTCATCCTCGACTTCTTGTCAACCACCTGCTCCGACACGTCAACAACACGCGTCCTCTCCTCCTCCGTCTCAGGGACCTCCACCTCCTCGGCCATCGGGACCACTTTTTCCACCCCTTTCACCCCTACCTCCTCCACCATCGGGGCCACCTCCTCCGTCCCCTCCACAGCCACCCCCTCTGTACTCCTCTACTCTGTCTGTACCCCCTCCGACACCTCCCTCCGACTCCTGTACCATTTCCCGCATCTCTATCGAGGCCACACCCTCCACCGCCTCCATCACCCCCTCCATCCCGAGAACCGCCAACACCTCCGTCATACTCTCTATCTCGATAACCACCAGTCCGTCGCAAGCATGTTATGTCGTCTCGTATCGCTGTAACCTCAGCATGAAGGTTTTCTAACCCAGCTCGTAGCATCGCGACATCATCTCGTAACTCCGCCATGTTGCCTCTCATCTCCGTCAGGAGTTCGAACAAATCATCTGTCGAAGCACGACGAATAGGTGCAGAAGGTGATACTGGACGACCCTCCTGAAAAAATAAATATTACAAATGAATAATTTAATTAAAAAAAATCAAAACGACAATCGATAAATTATTTTTAATTAACATACTCTATCTCGATCCACACGCGACTCAGGCATCTGAACATTTGGCGCAACCGGACATGATCTTCTCGACGGAGGCGATATCCTCGTCGGACGTGATCTCTTTAACGGAGGTGATACTGGATGACCCTCCTAAAAGAATAAAAATTACAAATTAATAACTTAATTACAAGATAAAAAATACCATCAACAAATTATATTCAATTAACATACCCGATCTCGAACCACACTGGACTCGGGCATCTGATCGTCAGGAGCAATCGAAACAAACAGTTCGCGAATATAACTCTGACTCTTCTCCTCGATCGACGGTGCCAACTCAGTAAGGACTTCAAGCTAACATTTTGACATTTCAAAGTTAATGACCATGTATTGAGATTTTAAAATGACATGTAACATAAATCACAAATATATAATACGTACCTCAGGATCGTCGAGAAGAGCTGATAACTGTTTGGCAAGCGGCTTGTCTTGTGCTCGCCAGTGATGCATTCGAGGGCAGCGTGTCTCCCCTCTCCTTGCATATCGACTAGCCAAGATGGGAATAGTCTCGTACACCCATATCTGCAGCAAATTACAATTATTAAATATAGAATTTAATAAAATATCGTAGATAATTCATTAACTTAAATATATACCTGCAACGCCAACGGTAGTCCATATGCATCGTACTTGCGCTCGGGCCTAGCCCTATTAGGCATCGAAAATCCCCTCCTGAAGACGCGTAATGTATCTACGAAACATCTCCGTCCCCATGGATAGTTATTGAAGGTATCAATATCATCAACAACCTCCAAATGAAAAATGTCAATCGATGTTTTCTTGTGATAACATCTGAGTACGCTCTCGAGGATAAGCACCAAGCCTAGCTTCAACTTATCAGACATCTGATCGCATTCCCTAAATGCGTCTCTCAACAGTGCTAGAGTAACTGTTGTCCGTCCATGAAAATATTCATTCAACAGCCTCCTATTCCTTGGAATACGGGCCCTCCCCGCTTCTTTGTCTGTACATCGCAATCCAGTGACGAGGGCAAACTCGAATATGGAGAATGTCGCTACCTTGCCTCCAAAATTAAAATGGATGGCATCTCCGTCAACTGGCTTCAGCAGTCGACATAGTAGGGCATCGAGCAGCTGCCCAGAAAATTGTACGTCGCGCAATGAATACAATGGCCATAAGCACGATCGACGTAATATGTCCGCGTGTTCATCATCTAGTAAATTTAATACCAAAGTGAAGCTGGCAAAGTTACAGTTCGACGTAACTTTACCTGGGATCTGTCTAACGACGTCGTCCAAATGATATTCCATCCTGCAAAATTTTAAATATTAGAACCACGTGTAAGAAATTATTGATAAACCAAAATATTAAAAAAATAAACTAACAAACTGCTACTATACGCAATAATCAACAGATAATGGAATAAAGAAAATGACTGTAAAGAAATATTAATTGTTTTATTAATATTTAATTTAATTATTTATTTTTATATTTTAACAAATTATGTTCATTGTTTATGGGGAAATACCTCAAATTGACCTAAATAAAGGAAGGATTTTCCAAAATAGCCTTTGACTTTTCTAAACATTTTGGATTACCTAAAATACCCTTAAACAAATATTAAAAAAAACCCTTTATCCAATATAAATCTTCTATTTAAGTCCTTAAAAAATTAACATATAATTTTTCTAAAAATTTGTGAGAATTATTAATGACTAATCATAAAATAGAAAAACCCAAATATAAGAGAGGACCATATAATATAAAAAAGGTTGTTAAAAATAAAAAAGAAATTAAGTTTGAAAAAGAAATTGATAAGATAGGATATCAAGAACAATTATATGCATCACAAGAAATATTAAAATGTTTCAAAGAAAACTTATTAGAAAATTTTGCTAAAGGAATTGTAAAAATATTAAAATGTTTTAAAGAAAACTTATTAGAAAATTTCGCTAAAGGAATTGTAAGGTCAATAATCATAAAAGATATACAAGATATTATAGATAAATTGGAAAAAAGGAAGAAAAATATTTCAAAATATGATATACCTTTTAGAACAGATATAGATATGATAACAGATATTGATATTATAAATTCTCAAACATTATTAGACTTTGAAGAATTACTTAAGAATTTATGAAATTAAAAATTTTGATATTTTGATTATTAGATTTTTGTTCGCTCATAGTAGCACCCATATAGTTGGTATCAGAGCCATAGAGATCATGGAAATCTTAAAAATAAATAATTATTATCAATGCATTGAAGAAAAAGGATGTTATATATTTTACAACCCTATCCCTAATAAACTAAAAATAATAACATTATATATAACTAGGAATTTACCTAGAGAAATAAAGGAACAAATATTACATAAATTAATTGTAGGATTTATCAAAGATAGACGTACATATGAAATAATTTG